GTACTAGTCATTGGGCGGTGCTAGTCACTGGGCGGTACTAGTCACTGGGCAGTGCTAGTCACTGGGCGGTACTAGTCACTGGGCGGTACTAGTCATTGGGCGGTGCTAGTCACTGGGCGGTACTAGTCACTGGGCAGTGCTAGTCACTGGGCGGTACTAGTCACTGGGCAGTGCTAGTCACTGGGCGGTACTAGTCACTGGGCGGTACTAGTCACTGGGCATTACTGTACGCAGCCCCTGAACTGAGACACAGCTGCTGTGGAACAGAGCCACTCTGACATTCAGCACATTAACATATTTAAAGTCTTGCAAGTTTTCTGTTTGAGGAACTTTATTCTGAAAGTCTGACAGTTGTTGAACCTCTGACCGTCTTTACTTCTGGAACAAATGGTAGTTTTAATATGAACTGTTGTGAATGAAATGAGTTTATARAATTGTTGCATTTATTTACATCTCTCCTCCAGAATTGTTCAGTCGTTCTACAAATCTCTCAAACTGAGAAGTGCGTATTTATTCACCCCCTTTACTTTGAAGCCCCGCCCTTCAAGGGAGACTTGTTGGAGTCTGAGAGGTTCAGACCTGACCAATCAAATGAAACAYGATGGAACTCCAGGTTGTGAGAAAACAAAAGCAAATCACCAAAAGGGTGGGGGGTGAATACTTTTGAATCCCACAGGAGCTGATCTGATGGTAGAGATGAAGACGATGGTGCAGGTAAGATCACCTCAGATTAGACCAAACCTCCGTCCTTCACCGAGCTCTTTAGATGCAGAACAAAGACCCCCACAGCGCCTCCCCCCAGAGGGCCACCGCCTGCTGAACTTTCTTGTGGGGGAAAAAAAATTGCAAACTTTTGCACAGATAAGCAAACTTGCTGTACTGGATTCTAAATGTCACTTTTTGAAATCTAGTGCTGTTTCACAATTGTTTTTATGCATTTTTTAAACGTTTGCCACTGTATTTTATACAACACGACACTTAACAGCTGATTTGAATGTTTTTGTTCTGAACTATATTTAAGAAGTATATTATGTACATAGTCTGGGGAAAAATGCACAATTGTATAAAGGAATAAAGAAAACGCTTCATGAGTTGTGCGTTTATTAACATTTATTATGTTTAAACAACGGGTTTGTGCGGAAGTGAAAACATGGCTGTGTTTGTGCTGAAAAACTAAAAAAAACAAGGTTGACATGTGCAACACCACGACGACTTACTTTGGCTTTGTTAGTAAACAAAAAATACGTTTTTAAAAATCCCATAAATGTTCCCAAACACACGACTAAATGTTCAGACTCACTACRGTCGTGCATTTCATTTCTACAGGGTGAGTCAGAAGTCTCAGGACACCCTTTTAATACAGAAACTAAAAGTGGAAATAAAATATCTGAATACTCAAGTACTGGGTAAGGAGAGTAGTTTACAGGCTGTGTCCAGAATACAGCCRCCATTTTGGATCAAGGGCAAGTTGTTCCCAGTGACAGAGGGGTTCTGTAGCACCTCAAAGACAGCTGGTGCAGGAAGAAGATGCTGCGTATGTGAGACATGTCTGCTCTGCAACATGTCTTGTCCACTGGATAAAACTGTCTCTGCTCCTCCCCCATCACTGATGACTGAGTCAGACGCTTCATTTCCTCATTTGTTCCTGAAATAACAGGGTGTCCTGACACTTCTGACTCACCCTGTAAT